GACAACAGAAGTTTGAGTCAGCTCACTGTACAAGTGCTCCTACTTATTTTCCACCATTCTAGAGTTGCTAGTGTAGAATTACCCTATAGGTGGTGTTATTTCTCTAAACTTAGGAAATTATTCAGTGGTAGGAGTTTAAAACCAAGCATCCCATGAAGTCGTTCACAACATTTGGTAGCTATTTTTAAAAGTCTTTTTTTAAAAAAATAAAGGCTTTGAGATATATGCAGATGTTACCATATTTTAGGAACTCAGTTTGAAATGTAAATTACAGTTAATACTCTTCTGTGGTTTGGAAAAAACACTAGGAGGCAAGTATCTATTTTCAGGATGTGGTAACTAAAGCAAATGTCAGAAAGCTGCTGGAAGGGATAAAACACTTCTAAGATTTTAAGAAACATTACTAAGTCATATTACAAACTTGAGGCAATATTGCCACAATCAGCAGAGTAAGCTGGAACCCTCGAGTTCTTGTTCTATCTGTATCATCTCTTATATTCTTTGGCTGAGGAGAGCCCCAAACTGTCCTTAATAGGCTATGGTACTCAAGAGAAATTTGTATCAATGCTCAAATTAAAATGTGCTGTTCATAATATATATGAGTGTTTTGTATGTGTATTTTTATAGGAACTTTTCAAGTACCGTTTTTCTTCTGGTAGGCCTGAGAATAACTGTATATTTCTGTAGCAGTCAAAATTTGAAATATTTCTCCAATAATTTTAAATGAGTAATCTCCCCAATGTTTTAGAATTAATTCATCTGTTGAGTAGCATGAGGTAGTAGGTGTCTTCTTGGTTGTCTTTCAAATCTAGAATTCTCCAAAAGAAAAAGAATTCTAGAACTAGTTTATCTTTAACTTTGATGTGTGGTTTATAAATTAACTTTATAAAGTTACTCAGTAAAAATGCTAAGGGATAATCATGAGTCTTAGAAGTTTATAGAGCTTTTCAAATTTGCATAAGGCCTCCATGTCCCATTTACAGTTATCTACATAATCCTTGATTTTGAATCCTAGTGTACCATTGGTTTTTGTTATAATCATTATTGCTATTGTTATAATTATATTTGTTATTTTTACCATGCATTGCCTGTTATGTTACCAATGTGCTTGCAAAATAAATTAATTATATTGCTAAAAGTACAAATCACTCTCTCTAAACACTTGTATTTTGTTTGTTGTTTGGTTATTAATATATGTACTCTTAAAAATTCTAAGTATCTGGCTGGCCTCTGTAGGTGAAAAATCTTGCTAATGTCAGAAACTAGAAGTCAGTTATAACACACCCAAAACTTCTGCTTCTGGAATGCTGTACCTAACCAATAGCCGTGATTTTATCAACTATTGTGATCATTGTGAAATGTTGGCTAAATATAAAATGATGGCCAAAATTCATTGCAGTGGAATTATTAATTCTCTCAAGAATGGGAGTTAAGAGCCAAAACCTCAAAGATCTTGAGTCCTTCAAGGAATCATAAAATACAGGAGCCAGCAGCAAAACCCCTGCTGCTAAAACTCCCACTCTTGGCAGTGTGACAGTGAAACTTCTTGGGTATAGTCAGTAGTCACAACACTCACACAATAACTTTGGCATCTAATAAGTCTTGCTTGGAAGGAAATTTATAGAAGCAGATATAAAGTTTTATGAGGATTGAGTAAAGTATTTATTTCAGCACATGTAGGTCATAAAACTACTTCTGAGTTGAGTGCTCTGGAAAATAAGCACAGCAGTTTGGCGTATTCTTCCTCAAAAGCAGACTCATTTTGAATGACAGTGCTCAGATCCACCACGTTCTTATTATTTAGTTATGTATGACTGTAGGGCAGATGGCATCTGGGTGGTGAACGGTGTCTGCTGAGATTTCCATTCCCTAGCAGGGTAGATATGCAGACTACCAAAATAGAAAAATATTTTCTGGGAACATTGTAGCTAAGCATCATATATAAGGAGAAGCAGTATATTAGCTGTAAATTACTAGTCTTGCATTTTTATATACTTTACTAGTAGTAGGTTTTTCCTCCTTCAAGAAACAAAAGATTTACCTTCCAGTATACCTTCTAATTAAAAAGTAAGATAGTGTTCCTTCTAATTAAAAGTAAAACAGTGTTCTAATTTAAAAAGTAGAATAGAAATAAAAGTGTGGTAGTTTGACAAAAACATAGTAAATGCCTGAAAAAATAAATCAAACAGAGAATTTTCAGTTTTATCTCTGCTCCCAACTTATTTTCACACCAAAATCACAATCTTCCTACCGAAGTTGATTATTTTACCAATTCCATTATATATGGAATTCTACACTTTCCATTTTTAATTTAAAGGTACAAAAAGGAATGACAAATTATCTGTAAAAAAAAAATTGGAAACTTCCAATAACCAAAACAGTCTTAGAAAAAAGATAAAACTGGAGTTCTCATGTTTCCTGATTACAAAACTTGCCTCCATACTACAATAATCAGTGCAATTTAGTACTGCAAGTGTTCAAAGACAGACACTTAGGCAGATATAACCAGATATAAGTAAAGTCTCATAAACATGGTCAAATCATTTCTGACAAGAACTCAAGACCACTCAAGGGAATGGCACAGTTTTTTTTTTAAGAAGTGATGCTGGGGAAACAGGTCACCCACATGCAAAAATATGCTGGACTCTTATCTAAGAGTATACAAAACACTTAACTCAAAATTAAGGCTTACAAAACTCTTAGACAAAAACAGGAGCCAAAGCAATGGCACAGCAAAAAGGGCACATGTCATTCTTGCTGCTGAACCAAGTTCAATTCCCAGCTCCCCATATAATCCTCCCTGAATGCATATAAGTGATCCCTGAATGCAGAGCCAGGAGTAACCCTGACCATTGCCAGGCATACCCAAAACAAACAAAAACCAGGCTAAAGTTTCATGACACTGATTTAGCAATTATTTAGTGAATGTGACACCAAATATACAGGTAACAAAAGGTAAAAACATTGAAATTATATAAACTTTGTGCTATAAAAAAATTCAACAACCCAATTTAAAAATGGGTGAAAGACTTTGAATACACACTTTTCCAAAGAAGTTATAGAAATTTTCACTAAATACATGAACAAATATTTAATATCATTAGCCAACAAGAAGCTGGAAATTCGAGTCACAAGAAAATACCATATTTTAGTCATATCCATTAGGGTATCTATTACTAATAAAGAAGAATAAGAAATAGTAAGTGCTGGTGAGGCTAAGAAGAAATTCAAACTATCATGTATTGCTGATAGAAATATATAATCATGTGTGTCTTTGAAAATCAGCACAATTATTTAAATTAATTAAAAAATAAATAGCACTGTAGCACTGTCTGTAGCACTGTCCTTCTGTTGTTCATCGATTTGCTCAAGCGCACACCAGTAACGTCTCCATTGTGAGACTTGTTGTTACAGTTTTTGGCATATCCTAGTATGTGTTGAACCCCTGTGTTCAATTCCCAAAATTTTATGGCTCCCTGAGCACAATCAAGTAAAATCCTGATAGTTCCCCCAACGCTGATGTGTGTGTGCCCTATAAAAATTAGAAATTAAATGAGCAATAATAAATGAATATTCAAAACTAGGAAGAACTTAAATGTCAAAAAAACAGATTAATGGAAATCATTAAGTAAATAATGAGAATTCACTCAATGGGTTATGCATGTAAGCCAGTAACACTCATCCATGGTGACAACAGGAAATATGCATATAATAAAATTGTCTCTATTACTATTGCAACTATAAGAAAGTATAATTCAAGAGGAAAAGCTAATATCAAAATGCTTTCATATTTTGCATGTGCATGATGAAATGATACCTTTTTCCCATTTACTTTCCAATTGTTTAGGAAACTGAATGCAATAATCTACATGAAAATGATATTTATGAATACTATTAAAAACCCCTTTTATTAGTTACCATGAAATCTGTGACACGGGGTCCTTTTGAGACTATCACAGAGTAGTGCAAATACCAAGGATATAAGTAATTGAGGTTCCTAAAAAAACCCCACTTCAACTATCTACTCAAAAACCTCTTCAGGATTTGTTACTGAGCAAAGCGCTCACAAGATGAAAATCTCTGAATAAAGAAATTTTCGAGGACCATCATGAGTTTGGCACTGGGAGAATCCAGAGTGCCCATGGCAGAAGTGCATTTGCAGAGAGGCACCTTCCTAGGTTAAAGCAGACTTGGCAAATAGAGCAGCCTTTAAAACAGCTTTTCAGAATGAGATGGTGATCCTGTGGGTTATTATTGAAACTTAATTCTGCATCTATCTTTCTCTGGCTTCCTGGTTGCCAGTAGTTCATTTTTCCCCCAGCCAGATGCACTCTCATTTATTGGAGGGGTGGAGGTGGTGATTATGCTGGATCCAGGGCTTACTCCTGGCTCCGCTTAGATCGTTCTTGGTGGTGTTCAGGTATGTGATACTAGGATCAAACCTGGGCCACTCTAAGCAAGGCAAGTGCCTTATTGCACTATTTCTCCAGCACAAGATCCATTTCTAAATCCACCACACCACCCATTTTAGAAAATAAAATTGAAACAGAAAGTAACTGGACATATTGTTAACATCAGTTGTTTAGAAGGGATAGACTGAGGATGGGAACTGGTAGGTAACTGTCACCCAACAGAAGCTGCAGCCAGGTTCCAGTTTACTCAGCTCCTTTACATAGTCTTCTTAACACCTTGCTTAGGCAGATCCTGATTGTCAGCTACCCAGAAGAAGGAACCAACAAAGACCTATAAAGATACTCTATAGGTCCCAAGGAAATAAGATTCCATCATTGCCTTTCTGAGGGGTGACAGGTTCCTATGTAGTCATATACCATGCATCTTTCAGAGTCATTATCTATCATATAAATTGCCACAAAATATTCTCATGAATTAGTTCCATCCCATGATAATCTTATATTTTGGTTGGAAGACAATTTCCAAAGACCAGTTTATTTTCCTAACTTTTGCCATTTTGGTTAATTATGTTCTCATGTAAATCTTAGGTGGTTCGAGATCAGATCTCTCACTGCACCGTAAAATTACGCCAGACCACTGGACTCATGGAGTACTGCCTGGAGGTGATTAAGGAAAATGATCCCAGTGGCTTTTTGCAGGTAAGTGTCCACTACTTCCTGCTTCACATACCCACTTTTCTCATGAACTGAGTCTACATTAAAGTCTGGGTACATGCCAAGGGAACCTCTCTGTGCATTATGTGGACATGTGACTGACTTCCATGAAGTCTCTGCTTCTGATTCTGAAGCATGTGGACATTTTTAGTCTTGTTTATTCTTGTACATAGTCATGAAAATATAATTTCCTAAAGTTTCTTCAAAGTAGAGATATGGCATAATCTAAGAACTCAGTCCTTTTCTCCTATATGTATTAAGCGGCTTTGTAACTAGAGACATCTTTTTTCTTTTTAAAAATTTATTATGGTTAAGTATGTTTATAGCATCTTTACAATGATGTTGATATTTATGGCCATGGCATTCACAGTTTTCTCACTTCAACTCACCACCACCAAAATGCCCAGTCCCCTCCCCTCCAGTCCATGACTCTATGTGTAGGTCATTAAAAGCCAACAGCCATAAGTACAATATATGAAAAGTATGACTAGAAAACACACAAAAAGTATCTTTGTTTATAGTATGATAGTTGAAACAAGAAAAGGACATTGCATTATTTTACCTAACCATCTACTAATGTCTTAAGCATGAAAGTATCATACTTTCTTACAACTACAATTGGCCAATATGCCAGTGATTTCTGCAAGAATAGTAAGTAAAGTAAAGGCCCTCCCGTTGATCATCGATTTGCTCGAGTGGGCCCAGTAACGTCTCCACTGGAGACTTTGTTGTTACTGTGTTTGGCATATCGAATACGTCACAGGGAGCTTGCCGGGCTCTGCCGTGCGGGCGAGATACTCTCGGTAGCTTGCCAGGCTCTCCGAGAGGGGCGGAGGAATCAAACTCCGGTCGGCCATGTTGGCTGCGTGCAAGGCAAACGCCCTACCGCTGTGCTATCGCTCTGAGGGTAGTGAAGGGTTTTTCCTCCTTACATGTTCCAGGATTATTTTAGTGTTAATTATTTCATTAAGATTCTGTTGCCAACTGAATTTTACTTAACTTTTGAACCAATGATAAGGAGACCTTTTGTTGGGCTGGGGCTGAAGCGATAGCACAGTGGTAGGGCATTTGCCTTGCACGCAGCCTGCACAGCCAAGCGGGATTCAGTTCCTCCACCCCTCTCGGAGAGCCCAGCAAGCTACTGAGAGTATCTTGCCTGTATGGCAAAGCCTGGCAAGCTCCCCGTGACGTATTCAATATGCCAAACACAGTAATAACAAGTCTCACAATGGAGACATTACTGGGCCCACTCGAGCAAATTGATAAACAACGGGAGGACAGTGTACAGTGATAGTGCAGTTCTTTCTTGGGCTATAGAGAGGATAGGGGACAAGACCCTCCCCAGGGCCAGTGCAGGTCTGATTCCCAGCACTGCATATGGTTCCATGAGCATCTCCAGGAATGGTCCCTGAGCAGAGGCAGGGAATCAGCCATAAGCACCCCAAGGTATATCCCAACTTTCCCACCCTCCAAATAGACCTTTTTTAAAAAAATCATTTTTTTACTAACATTCTATTAAACTGGTCAAGAGTCACAGATTTGAAATAAAAGTTTTTTTTAACCAAAAACAAAGTAATATATGAAGATGATGTGCTTAAAATGTAAGAGATACCACTTTACAGATTTTACAGATTTGAAGATTTTATACTTTACAGATTTAAAATTAAAAATTACAGATTAAATTTATTTCTATACATCCTCTCAAAACTACTTTATAAAACTTATTGCTGAGTTTCATCAGGATACCCACACTTCATATTAGAAATTTGGGGTTGTTGGTTCTAGTAGAATTAACTGCATACATATTTAATGTTGTTGGGTTTCCATTGATCTATCATAACATGATCAGATATTCCAAATTTGACAACTAATTATTTCTAGCACCCACCTCTGAATCACAAAAATGCCCAAAATGAGCTGATAAATATTGAGTCATCCTGGTTGTAACAGGCTTCTCACCACCTGCACAGAGACAGGAAAGATGTGAGTCATGAAGCAGTTTAATGAAGTGTTCCTGGAGAACTGGGAAGAGGTTCTATGCCCAAGATGGTGGCATATTCCTTAGACTATGCTCTTTGATGTGATTAGATTTCTGATGCCCTCATAAGAAGAGTGCACCTGACCGAGGATCAGTGGGGAAAAGGGACGCTGACTCCCAGGATGACCACCGACTTCGACCTGAGTCTGGACAACAGCCCTCTGCTGCAATCCATTCACCAGCTCGACTTTGTGCAAATGAAAGGTGGGTGTTTGCATCCTCAGCCCCATGTCCCCAGTGGATTCCTGTACTTGAAGGAGAATATGGGCTGCTACTTGCCAAGTGGCTTATGTATCATCTGGAAGCTGGGGAACACACACAAGCACATGTTCTTGCATACACACATACACACCACCATCACCACCACTCCCACACATACAATCCTTTGGTCAATATTCCAAAGGTCTGGAGTGGCCTCTGTATTGTCATGTAATGGGAACCCTGTAACCATGTTACATCCCTCTTAGGAAGTGAGTTTAATTCAGATAAGCTCAATGCGTATCTCTTAAAAGTCTTAGCGATTTCACATGCTCAGCATCAGAGAACAGCTGCTATGAGTAAAGAGAGAGAGGAAGAGAGAGAGCAGAGAAAGAAAAAAATGTCACTACATAAATAAAATCTTGGTATGAAAAGTAACCCATAATTATTGATCTAAATCAAGAAAGTTTAGAATTGAGATGACAGATTGTAATGTTTAGATAGTGAACTAATGGTTGCACGTGGATTAGTGGGAATTTGAGAGATGATATATATCTGCTTGCCAATGCTGATCAAGATAATGAGCTGGAATACAGAAATTGAAATTTGAAATGTAACTTTAAAAATTTTTTTTTTCCTGCATCACACCTGGAAATGCGCAGGAGTTACTCCTGGCTCTGCACTCAGGAATTACTCCTGGCGGTGCTCAGGGGAACTTAATGGGATGCTGGGAATCAAACCAGGATCAACTGCGTGCAAGGCAAATGCCCTACCCGCTGTGCTATCACTCCAGCCCCCATAAAATTTGTTGATTTATGTGGTTAATGAGCATTTCAAAATCTCTGAAATTTTAGGGGTTACTGATATTTAAAATGATGTTAAAGAACATAATTTTTTCAAAAAGAAATGAAAACTCAAGTCAAAAATCAGTAATTTTATAGGAGCATAAGTAATATCTATTTTAAAGTACATATCCTTTTTACTTTTTCTTTTGAGATAACTAGACAGTCACAGAAATTTGTTAAAATAGGAGGGGTCTTTCATCCAATTTTCCTATTCAGATATATCTACAATATCAAAGCCAGGAATTTGGTACAATGTGTTTATAGTTATGTACCATTTTGTCACATGTATAGATTTCATTATCCACCACTGTTATGAGATTAAAAATGATTCCTTCACCACAAAAATCACCCTGGGGCCTTTATAGCTCTTTGCAGTCATACCTACCCCCTACACAATCCCTGGAAACTACTAATTTTCTTTCCATCTTCATAGTTCTGTCATTTTTCTGTTTTTTTTTTTAAACTGAGAAAATTGAATTGAGTTTTCTTCTACCAATTCAAGCATATGATGAATGATTTATATGTCAGTACTTTAAACATTCTGGATTTTGTTGTTGTTTTTCGGTTTGGGAACCAAACCTAGCAGTGCTCAGGGACTCCTCCCAGCTAGTTGCTTGGTTTGTGTTTTCCCAATAATACTTATAGGACTTTCAAGGCCTAGGATCAAACGTGGGCCTCCTGCTTGCTTTGCACTCACTTCAGCCCATTGAGGCTCTCTCCAGTTCTATTTTCTTCTGGGGATTAAGGGGTTTACTCATCAGTGCTTGGAGTTTACTCATGGCACAGTGCTTGAGGTTTTATCTCTAGTGCTCCTTGGAAGACTATGTAGAGCCAGAGATCAATCTCCTAGTTTCCATATGAAAAGTGTATGATCCAGCCCTTTGAGCCATTTCCCTGAGTTCCAAACATTGTTTCTTACTGGGGGCAGGGTTGGAGGGGGAGGTAGTGGGTCACACCTGGAGGTAATCATGACTGCCTCTGCACTTGAAGATCACTTCTGGCAGTGATCAGGGGACTAGATGCAGTGTTGGGTATGAATCAGGATTCGCTGAACCAGGCAAGTACTTTAAACCCCATACTATTGTCCTGGCTCTAAATTTATGTTTCCTAAGAAAAATCTGTGTTTTCTTTTATCAGAGAACCATGTAATCCAGCACATATGATAGTTTAAGTCATCCCTGTACCTGGTACCTGGTACATGTACTTCTTTCTTTTAATGGATTTTTGCTCTCCTCTCCAGTTTTCTCCTTCTTTGTTTAATAAGTTTATTGCTTTGTGAATGGCACTGTAATTTTTTAACGGAGTAAAAACTGTTTTGTTGGGGCCAGAAAGGTATTACAGTGGACATATTTGTCTTGCACATGACCAACTTGGGTTTGATCTCCAATACCCCATATATTCCTCTACATACTGTCAGCAGTGGTCCCTGGGGGGGTGGGGAAGAACTATGTTGTAGTAACAAAAAGTCCATTTATTGACTTATTACCAATCCAGTCTCTGGGGTTCTTAACATAGATTAATTCATGTTATTCTCATAATCCTACCAGACAGTGAGGAAAATAGGGCACAGGAATACCAGGTTACTTGTCTAAGCTCACCCCTCCAGCAAATGGCAGAGTGGGGTGTTCAAACCCAAAAATCCAGAGCCCACATGCATAATTTTCAGGTTGTGAGGCTTTTCCAAGGAATAATGAAATTCCCCTCTAAACTTTAAAAATAAATTTAAATTCCCCTCTTAAATTCTTTCTTGCTGTTGAAATAATTTCACCTGGCTGTCTATAAATAAAGCCACCCAAAATAATGGATAAAGTCCAAGTAATTGCCACCACCCCCATCAGCTTCTCTCAGTACCCCATTTTTTCAATGAGGTCTACAATGGAAATGTTATGTCCCCAAAAGGACATGATAAGGAATTTTGTTGAAAAGAAAAAACAATCAAATAATCCAGTTAGCATTTATAATAAGGAAAGAGATGGGACAATGGAAGGGTAAAAGTCTCAGGACTCTGAAATGCTGTAAACAATTGAAAAACTTCCCTACTTGTTGTCTGAGTCGGGAGCCCAAGCTAGTAGCCACAGTGGTAGCAATAGTTTTGGAGAGAATAGATCCTTCATCTGAGTGTGGGCCTTATTGGTTGTGTTTACAATCCATTACAATCTGTCCACAGAGCAGAGATTGCCAATCACTCTAAAGGTCAAAACTTACACACTCACAACAAAAATTCATGTGATACACCAAATTGTCCAAACAGTTATTTATGAAGTTAATGTGATGAGTCATTTGGTGTGAAATTGGATTTATTTCATTTTTCTTTTGTTTTTGACACTTCATCTTAATTTATTTCTGATTAGCATCCCTCTGCAGAATTAATTTATATGGTTTGCTTTGTATTCATTAAGTTTAATTAATTCAGAGAGAGCTTAATCTTCTTAAGAATCTGAATAATTTTTATCTGTCAGTTCTTTCAGTGGAAAGAAAAGGCCAAAAGGTTGATGGAACCTGATTGGCAGTAGTTAAGATGTCCATTGGCTAGAAATGTACACAATTTTGCCTGAGGTAGTATCAGAGTTTTCACTCTTTTATGATTTTCTTTGTCAATTTAATAAATTGCATTATTATTGAACTTGCCAGTAAAAATGCCAAGAAACCATACTGCAAAACCCATATACAAAAGGGCCAAAATCTAAATTTCATTTATAATTTTACTAATCTGACTTATATGAAACTAATAATACACATGATGCTTTCTTTTGGGCCAAATAGATTACAAAGAAAATTAAAATACTTTCAGAGTTACATAAACCATGCTATAATTCATTCTGACAACTAAAATGTCTGTTTGCTTCTCAATTCAATTTTTTTTTATTTTGAATACCCATCCCTCCACCAGTGACCATTTCCTACCACCACGGATCCCAGTATCCCTCCCACCCCACCCCATCCCCCATCCCACCCTGCCTCTGTGGCAGGGCATTCCCTTTTGTTTTCTCTCTCCTAGTGTGTGTTGTGGTTTGTATAATTCAATTCAAAATTTTAATGTCTCTAGTTTTACATTTTTATCTCAAATGCCTCTTTTGTTCTTAATATCAAAGAATATAGGTCTGATGTTAGGTTTTAGATTTAAATAGGAAAATATTCTGTGAGAATTGTCTAACTATATGCAGCATCTCAAGAATCATTGGAATTAAAATAGAGAACCAATGTGTTAATTCCTATCCCAAATCTGTCACCTAAGACTAGTGAACCTTTTAAACACAATGGCTATTAATCTCTTTAAGTGCCTTTACTTACTTTAGGGCCCAGTTGTCTTTATTAACTTATGTTGGATATAAGAGCCATGAGCTGACATCATGGTCACAGGCAAGGGCAGTGTGATCCAAACATACCCTCCTATAAATCACGGAGAAAGAGTGCCCAGAGGTTTGGGCAGTGACAGGAATGAGTGGACATGCTGTTTTGCGTTTACTGCGTTCATGCACACAGTCTATTTATGGTTTAGGGACCTCAAATGAGTAGGCAGACAGCACATTTACTCTTAGCAAAATGCTAGTGATGACTTCCCGGAAATGGCACACTTTCCTCAAATGTGGTGGTGTTCAAACACCACTAAAAGGAATGACAGTCTATAAACCTTCAAAGAAGATGACTCTATAAAATGCCTTCCCAAACTCCATAGCCCTCAAGGTGAAATATTTTATTCATCTATACCAGAAATTCTTTTTTTAAAAATTTTTATTAGTGAGACACCATGAAGTACAGTTGTAGGCTTACAAATTTTTGTGCTTGGGTTTCAATTATACAATGATCAAGTACCCATCCCTCCACCAGTGCCCATTTCCCACCACCACGGATCCCAGTATCCCTCCCACCCCCCATCCACCCCCCCATCCCACCCTACCCCTGCAGGACTACCAGAAATTTTTGAGGAGATTTATTGTTTCCATTTGGGAAATAAAATGAAGCATTCCTCCTAGAAGTCAGAGGAAGACTTCCCTCTGAAACACTATCACTGACCTGCAGACTAAAGCAGCAGTGCAGTGCAGGGCCCGTGTGGTCCCCTGCATCAGAGCCCAGCTACACCACCTGCCACCCAGGAAACCTTGCTGTGTTTCTGTCTCTTCATCTACAAAACAGAAATAATAACATACCTATCTTCTGGGGATTGCTATGCACATTAAAGAAGAGAATATATGTAAACCTTTTACTCCACTATCCAGCATTCAGGAATTTTTTTCTTACTGAGTGTAGAAGACAGACTTGTGTCTCTTACATGAACTTTCCTGCACTTCCGTTAACTTTAACAGGGCAATTTTTTTAAATAGCAAAGTTTACAAATACTGTCCCTATTTATGCTGTAGGCATGTAATGTTATTTAATCGCTTTCTTCACCGAAGTACCAGAATCCCTCCACTGCTACCCTGTGGGTCTCGTCTAGGCCATCTTTCCCTTCCCACTCTTTGGAAACTTACTGGGAATCTCATTCTTTTGCCAGTCTTAGGATTTTCCTTAGCCATAGCCCACTCTCTTGCTCTTTTTCTTTATATTTACATTTGAATATAAGTGAAATCATCTGGTACATATATTTGAGTTTCTCCTTCTGACATATTACTTAACATGTCATCTTCTAGTTCCATTCAAGTTGTAGCAAATTGCAAGGTTGATTTTTTTCTTATATTTGAGTAGTATTCTGTTGTGTATATACACCACAATTTCTTTATTCACTCATATATTGATGGGCTCTCATATTCTTTTTTTTTACAGGTTTACAAACTTTTGTGATCATGTTTCAGTCATACAATGTTCAAGTACCCATCCCTCAACCAGTGTCCATTCTCCATCAGCAATATTCCCAGTATCCCTACCTTCCCACCCTCTACCTCTGTGGCAGTTGCATTCCCTCTTACATTCTCTCTCTCTCTCTCTCTCTCTCTCTCTCTCTCTCTCTCTCTCTCTCTCTCTCTCTTTCTCTCTCTCTCTCTATCTCTCAGGTGTTATGGTTTGCAATACAGGTACTAAGGGGCCATCATGTTTGGTCCATAGCCTACTTTCAGCACTCATCTCCCATCCCAAGCAAGCCCTGCAACCATCATTTACTTAGTGGTTCCTTCTCTAGCCCAACTGCTTTTACCCCCAGCACCTGAGACTGACTTCCAAGCCACGGAATGATCCTCCTGGCCCTTATCTCTATTGTCCTTAGGTATGGCCTCCAGGGCTCTTATATTCTTTTCAGCTCTTACAAGTAATACTGAAATGAACAATGCACATAACTTTCCTATTAATGTTTTTGTGTTCTTGGTGAAGTTGCTGAGGAGTGGAACTATATGCTTATAATATGATTCTATTTTCAGTGTTTTGCAAAGTCTCCATACTCTTTTCCATCGAAGTTGAACAAGTCTCCAGCAACAGTGAAGCAGAGTTCTTTTTTCACCACATCTCTGTTTTTTGTTGTTTATTTATTTGGGGGCGGGGGATACACCTGACTGTGCTCAGGTCTTACTTCTGGCTCTGCACTCAGAAATCACTCCTAGAAGGCTCAGAGGATCAAACGGGATGCTTGAACTGAGCCCAGGTCAGATTCATGCTCTCCCTGCTGTACTATCTCTCCAGTTCTTTCAACATATCTGAGAGCCATGGTTGTTTCTTACCTTTTTTATTTAGGCCATATATATCACTGGTGTGAGGTAATATCTCATTTTTGGAGTAGTTATTTTGACCTATAGCTGAAAAATTAGAAGGGGAAATTTTAATATGAAAAAATATGAGATATAATTTGAACTAACATGACCCTAAAAATAGAAGACATTTGAAAACTTTGTCATAGCAAACCACACTTGGGGGATTTAAATCAGAGCCAAAGTTCCACCAGACTCCTTTGAGAAAGTCAATAAAAGAAGCCTCATTCTTGTAGCTAAAAGGAGTATTTTAGCCCAGACTTGATTTTACAACGTGAAATGATGCTAATAACTAGAATTCTGATCCACTCAGGAGAACTAGTTTGGGAAAAATAAGATTCTAAGAATTATCATTAATGTCTTGAAATTAAAAATCTGGTATAAAAAATAAGTAAAAATAAAAATATCTGTGACAGCCAATCAACTTTAATGTTTTTTCATAGGGTTGGGCTAGGCAATCTAATGCTATCCATTTCCAAATCAAAACAGATAAACTAGTTCAGAAATATTTTGGATTCTTATAGACCATTTATCTTACACCAAGGTAAAACAAGGTAACATCACAACTATTATAAAATCTTTTTTTTTCTAAAATGACAGCCTTTGTCTTTGCTAATGAGGGTGTAATTTTGTCACATTTTTCTTTTCTATGCAACATCACTTGGGGTAAATAAGGAAAAGCAGAAACAATTCTCAGCACTCTGAGACAAATTTCAACACATGCAAATGTCTCTTGGTTTCTTTGTTCTTTCTCACTTTGTTCCTTTTTGCTTGTTTGGTTGCTTTTTAAAATCTGGGACAATATTAAAGTCTAAAGATTAGTGATTGGTTAGACTATTTTTTCTGTCCATTTAGTCTTTTAAAGAATGCCTACTAAGGACTTATGTGATTCACATATTTTAAAGACATATTATCCCAAAGGCTTTAATTAATCTTTCAATTATTTCTGTCTATATGAGGAAATTTGAGTTTCTTCCCAGGCACACTACAATTATTACTGTGATTCAAGTTAAAGCCAACTTGTGATTTTTCATTTTAAAGTTGATGTAGATTTGCGAGAGACATAGGAAAAATACAGACTGACAGGCAAATTATTGCAATAAATAGGGCCTAAGAAATAGTTGATTTATGTTAAACTATAAGAAGAAGAGTTAAGTAAATCTAACTAAGAGAACCATTCCATGTCTCTAAATGGGTTGCTTAAACTTTTCATACATTTTACTTTACAGTTGATATGTTAAAATGTATTTTTTTAGGTAGGGGGATTTGTACCATATCTGGCTGATTCTATAATCAAGGATGACTTTTTGCAATGCTCAAGGGACCATATTTCCAGGATCAAATTAGGTTCAGCTACCACTAGACAAGCCTTACCCATTGTACTATCTCTCCCGTCCCTAGATGTACTCTTTTTATAATGAAAAAGGTGGTATGACAAACTTCCCTATGTGTGTTGTGACCTAAAATTAATTCTCCACTTAACAAACTATTTGATGCTGCTTTGCAAATTGTTAGAATGATTACAAGAAAACTGGTCTCTTCCATCTTTCCATGCAGGCTTGTTCTCTATCTTGAAGTAGGCAATGAATTTATTTCCTTTACTTGAAATCCTGGAACCTCTGAAACTGCAGAAGTTATTGGTTTTCTGATAAAACCTAAATTTTGTGCAATTGATTCTTGAAACATGATTTCCCTTCCTAAACTGATCATCTCCAGTTAACTGGTTATAAATTTGATTTTACTAAGTCTGGTCTACTAACTCAAACATCATGCATGTGTGCATGCATGCGCGCGCGTGTGTGTGTGCATGTGTGTGTATGTGTGTGTGTGTATGTGTGTGTGGTATCACAGTCTTTTTAAAGTATAAAATAATTGACCTGCTTCACCTTCTCAGCTCTTATGAGTCAGGATTTTCATTTCCTAGGTTGTTTGCCATAGAAGTTGTTCTCTAAATTGCTGTTAAATTAATAACCTTTGTTGGGGTGACTAGCAAGGTTCAGATTTAATTCGATGCATGACACTTCAATTCCAATTTTGGTACAGCACACCAGGTGTTCCACATTAACATTTGTTCATCTAAATGTCCCTGGAGGTAATCCAAATTGTTCTCTCCTGTTGTTAAATAACTACCAAAGAAAATGTATTTATATGTTGGTGCTAAAAAGCATCTTAACCAATTACCAAAAAAAAAAAAACCACAAAAAAACAAACAAAAAAAAACAATTATTCCCAGAATCAGATTTTGGTATGCTAGGAGCAGTAATGACTTGTTACATAATATCTGCATTCTGATAACTCAACTAGTGTACAGTTTTAGTGAATATAAAATATTCTTAGCACAAAATGGGGAGAAGGTCTATTGGAAGTAACTTGGTAATAGAGTCTCCCAAAATATTAAAGATTCGGGCCCAAAGAGATTATACAGCCAGTAGGGTACTTGCCTTGCAAGTCAGCTCTGATTTGATCTCTGGCACCAAATATGGTCTCATAGCACTGCCAAAAGTGATTCCTGGCACTGAAAGGAATAAGTCCTGACCTATGCCAGGTAAGATCAGCCCAAAAAACACAATTTTTTAAAATTTAAATAAAGATTTTTAAAGGTCTTGAGAATTCCTGGACCCTCCACTTTCAGTGCCAGTATTCCCCTGAACTACGCTTCAGATTCATAGTTGGCTCTTCTGTGCTGGCAAAAGATGAGGGATGGAGCAAGTGCTGTTTTCAAGGTGCTCAACCTTGAAAGAACATGTCAAGTTCTTCAAAAGTCTCAAACTGTTTCAATCACTATGTCACTAGGTTCCAAATTTTCAAAATTCCACTGCTGTCATTGCTCATATACACAAGACCTTGCACAGAATCGCTGGTAGAAGAAAGCAATAAAACCTTAGAAACATCATGGTTTCGAAGCTGTTTCTAAAAACAGGTCATCCTTGATATATAAACTTGAGATTAATCCATAGAGTAACTTTTACAATCAATGTACCCATCAAGTTCTGTGTTAGATAGGCTGTTGTGGACTGGAAATTCATCCCTCATGTGAAATGTTTTCCTTCTGGATGATGTCAGAGCAAAGTAGTTGTGTCCCTTCCAATTAAGGTAGGAATAGCAACAATAAACTTGGGGGGGAAGCACAGTAGCTCAGGAATGGGCCCCATTTGTAAGGACACTATGAGGGATTCTGTTCAGATTCCTCAAGCCGTACCCCAGGACGGCTACTCAATCTAGCCATAAATTTATCAGGGAGGTGTTTATGGTACTAAGTTACTGATGTGTTTGCAACTCAACAGAAACCAAAGTTACACTGATTTCTGTTTAGCTTCCTCTCCAGTCCCAGCGACCCCCATCCTACAGCTGGAAGAGTGTTGTACCCACAACAACAGTGCTACGTTGTCCTGGAAACAGCCCCCTCTGTCCCCGGTGCCTGCAGATGGGTATATCCTGGAGCTGGATGACGGCAGTGGTGGTCAGTTCCGGGTGAGTCAGACCCACTCCTTGTTAAACCAAAACCTGACTCCAGCCATCCATGTGGAGTCTTAGGCCAGCCTCCTACCTCATCCCAGGAAATACCGCCCCCCTCCCCGCCCCGAAGGTATCATCAGCGCCAGACCAACAGTCTCTGACTAGAAATTGCTTTTCCTAAGAGAAAGTACAAGCAGTTATGGCAGCTCTGGTATTCGTACAGTATTCAAATAAGAACGCTACCTCTTCACTATGTGACTGTGCCTAGTTCTCACCTATGGAGCCTGCAGATGCTCACTTGTAAATTGGGATGAGGGTAATAACAGCTCCCTCCTACCACTGTTGCTGCCATTCCAGACCCCAGTCTTCTGAGCACACCACTGGAAAGATGGTGTTTTATGGCTCTGCTTTGAATGCAAATTATTTTTACCCATTACGTCAGCATAATGTTGCAAATTGCAATGATAAAGAGTAAAATAAATACCTAATCTATGCTAAAGATACATTCTGCTAGGATTTATTTTAAGCCTTTGAAATGTCATGCTTCCTCCTTCCCCTGTTTCCTCCCCCTTCCCTCTGCGCTGTGCTGAAGCCTGAGTTCCTGTAATAGCTTAGAAGGTAGTCTTCATGGCAGTTTTATGACATGATAGAGAACCCCCCCCCCCGTCCACTCACGTTTGCAGACCTGGTTTTTACAAATCACACTGGTATAATACACTGTAACTATCACTAAAATTTTATTAGTAATAATTTTATTACTTATTACTAAAATTATTACTAGTCTAGTCCTACCTATAAGCACCCAACTTTGATATTTTAAGCCCCAATTACTAATTCATTACCACCATTCACTAAGTTCCTAGGCCCTTGTTAAATACAAGGCACTATACTAGTTAGTTTTCACATATGACCTTTCACAACCATCATAATAAGGTGGATATTCTTCTAACAGGTAAGGATGCTGAGGCGGAAAGGAGTCCGTTAAATGGTCTAATATCTCACAGGATTCAAAATCATATCAGGCTGACATGAAACGGTTTGCAAACATTGTCTTCCTGACATGTCATAAAGATTCCCATTAAGTTCTGGCCTGTTATTTGTTGACCCTCAGGAAGTCTATGTTGGGAAGGAGACAATGTGCACTGTGGACGGTCTTCACTTCAACAGCACATACAATGCTCGAGTCAAGGCCTTCAACAAAACAGGAGTCAGCCAGTACAGCAAGACCCTGGTTCTCCAAACGTCCGAGGGTAAGGCCCTTCAGCAGTATCCCTCAGAGCGAGAACTGCGAGGCATCTAAGTGGTTGGCAAGGCCGGAGGTAACCCTACCACTGCCCACATTCTGAAGTGTTTCCATGACTTGCTCTGCATTCTGGCACAGAGTTGCTGTTCCTCTCCTGCCTTTAGAGAGCCCATGGTATGTGGATGTGATCCAACCAAAGAGTCCGCAACAGCAGTTCAAATGGCTGGGCCGTCGGCTTCCTTTGATAACCCTCTAAATAAGCTGCAGTTGAAGAAGCTGAACAAATGAAGGCCTGAATGTGCCCCTCGTGTGTGAGACGAATGTATCTAGGCTCTAGGGCAGGCTCCCATGCTCCACGTTACACATCGTTTGCCAGTTTTGCCCAAATGATTCTAAGTTGCTGTGTAGTGCTTGTTTCTTCCTGAGGGTGGGAACTTGCTTCTTTTCAGCTGTGGGTTTGTCTGACGGAAAGTGTTTCCCATGAGTACAAGGTGCTAGATTTATTCAGAAAGGGCCATTTGGCTACTCATGGCTTAACTAGCACAGACTGCTTCTATTTCACACCCAGAGCTGAGGCCGGCAACGCCAGGATTGAGGCTTCCTGTGGGCACCAGACAGGAAGAGACCAGCAACTCCTCGTTGCCTCACCATTCTCATCATGGCTAGTCCCACGAGGCTCGGGTAGGCTGCCTCAGGCCACTGTATATGTGGTCTGTCTCTAGAGAACTTTGCTTCATCTTGGCTCTACTATAAACACTCTCCTCATCAAAGGCAAGCCATCTATCTTATATGAGGGGCTTGGATTTGATGATGAGTACAACTTCTGAGGCTTTTAACTTACTGATTTTTGAAAGCAATTGCAGCACATGAAATTATCCCATGAAGAAGTGTTTGTGATCAGGTGCCAAAGCATTTTCAGACCTTCTCGGAGTCATTTTAATCCTAGATGTCAGCCCCACCCCACCAGCATTAGCCATAGACTCCCTCTGCAAAACTGATGCTGTTGATTGTGTCCAAGTTCAAGATATGAGTGGGAAGAACTGTGGCGGTGTGTTTCCTTGCCTCCTACAAACCCTGGCATGTGCCAATCACCCTTGAAATGGTTCACATGGTTAAAAACAAGCACAACTTTCAACCCCACAGTGAGACCCCTGGCCATGGAAACCATGGTTGGGGAGTCTGTGAGCAATGGTGTTCAAAGAGAAGGATGTGATGAAGGGGAAATGTCCACATGTCTCATACCCATCCAGGTACCAGGGATAGCAAGAGTCTCCTCTGGGATGGTCATTTTAGAACTTCTCTCTGGGATGATAAATCAGCTTGAGAGAGTTGGCCTTTGTCCCCTACATTCCATGCTGAATGTGAAAACCCTCCAACAGATTTTCTAGAATGAGAAAGTCCTGGGTGGTGGTGACCTCTGTCTCACGTGGGCACAAGGCAGTGTGATGAGGAAAGTGCATGTGTCAGGCAGGAGGGAACTCATAGTCATGTCACTAACATGTGTCATCAGCTATATAATAAACTATTTCTATCCATCATACTTCATGGAAATCATACTAATATCACTCCACTCAAATAAGTTATTAGCATAGGAGCCTGAGCACTTACATATCTCTTCTCATCCTGCAGGAGGATGTAGTTTCTCAGTTTCTCTAAATGTTTGTAAGAATATGGTGTCTAATAAATAACAGGGTTGGAACTGCAATCCTTAGTATCACAGGCACAGAATTGGGGGAGAAGGGATGGATTTTCTGAAAGATTAATGGAGCAAGTCCTTTTTCAACAAAGAAACTGTACTGTAGAAATTCATTTCCTCCATGAATTTTATATATTGTGTACAAATATAAGGTATGTAACGCAACACAAAGAAAACCCTCTTATCCTGTAGATATCAGTGTTCTCTGTTACTGCACAGAAGTGATTTACTCATGATGAAATAAAGTTCACACACATACTTTCTCCATAACTTTGGTTTGTTCTATTTGTTTCTCCCTCATTTTGATTCATTCAGTGAGACAAGATTTAGAAAGAAAAGAAAATTCAATGAATGGTAGCTTATTATTTTTTAAGAAGATTTGGTTAATTTCTAACAGAGAAAGCCTATATAAAACATTTTAAAGAATTGTATCTCTTTAAGTTTTAGAAATCAGTTTTAGAAACTGCCTTTGACAGTTTTATACATTAGCTGAACTTATATTTTATTCACCTTATTTTCCACCATTCTTGAAAAGAGACTTACTTGGAGATTTTTTCCTTTGATGCTATTATGAATAATATAGGGGTTCCCTTGACTTTCTACTGAAACAAACTCCTTTGCTTTGTTCTTAGCAAGAGTTCATCTTTTCCAGAATTGAAAACAAAAAGTGTCAGAAAGGCACTTATGGCTAAGTCTGAGACTTAGATCACTTTTCACTTTTATTTGATCACAAAGTTTTTGCTGCTGACCTAAAGACAAACTTATACAGGCGAGAGCACATATTCACACTGTGATAAATTCTGGTTGTTTTTTCAAAAGCAAATTGATTTGTATTTTGATGGAACATGTTTGCTTCAAGAGTTGTTGGGGCGCTGTGGGGTCTGAGAGTTTCCAATCTGAGAGAGAGGCAGGCCTCCTGGGGAGACCCCAGACAGTGCAGGCTTACACAGACGGACCAGAAAGAAGACACAATTTGTATAGAGTAATTTATCAGAAAACACAAGAATTTAAAGTAAGTGAATTCAATAGAAATTACAAATAATGAAAATAGAAGAAGAAAGGGAAGCGCATCATTACATGAGTCCAAGCTTGGTTAGTTCTCTGAAAGCAAATTTCTTGGGGACAGACCTAAGACAACTACTAAAGGCTACCATTATTACCAATGTTGTAAATCATAGTGTCTAAAATAATTTTTTAAAGACCAGTTTCAGGTGCCAGAGTGATGGTACAGCAGATAGGGCTTTTGCCTTGCACACGGCCAACCCAGGTTCAAGCCCTGGCATCTTTTATGATCCCCCAAGCAACCCCAGGAGTAATTCCTGAGTGCAGAGTAATTCCCTGAGCATTGCTGAGTGACCCAATAAGCCAAAAAGAAAAAAAAAACTAAATCAACCAAATCAACCATGACTTAAGATAGGGTAAGCAACTGAAAATTTTAATGAAAATGACAAAATAATGTCTACCACTGTGGTTGTATTTCTCTCAGAAGGAATGCATGTAACAGTCATCCTGACTGTAGCAGCCTTTGAGCCAGCAAGCAGTCTTTGCAACCATCTGTGAGAGCACCCGCTGAAATCCAGTAATGAGGCCTTCTTAGAACATCATGTTCTCAGGCTTATTCTGTGTCTGAGAGACTACTTCAAAACTCTTATTAGTTTGTTTTAAAAGAAAAGGTTGAAAACAGGATAGGAACATTTTTCTTATTTTTTTATATTTCTGTGGATCTAAACAAATGGTACTTTTTTTTTTATAATCTAGAAAGGATAATGAAATAGACCAAAAGTATTGTTCCTGAGACTCAGACAACTCCCTGAGCTATGTAGCTGAAATGAGAAGACCTTATTGATTTGTTTTATTTTGTTTTGTTTTGTTTTGTTTTGTTTTGTTTTGTGAACATCCAACAGTGCGCAAGGAATACTCCTAGCTCTGAATTCAGGGATCACTCCTGGTGGGGATTGAAGGACCATATGAGATGCTGGGATTTAACCCAGGTCAGCCATATGCAAGGCAAGTTCCCTACCTGCTATACTCTCTCCAGCCTAAGAAGGCTTCTTTCTAACTGTCCTCTGATCTTAAGCCAAGAATCACTTCACATAGACTTCATCAGGGCACTTGTAATACTGAGGATGACAACAAAGCCAACCTAACACAATTTCCTTTTGAAGGGAAGGAAGGAAGGAGGGACACATGGATGGAATCAGGGAAAATGTTTGGGGGTCACTCCATGGACCATGTGCTGGAGATGGAATTCAGGACTCTCATGTGCAAAGTATGTGCTCCAGTCCCTTGAGCTATCTCCTAGCTCCTTCTCAAAATCTTTAAGCAAATATATATATATATATATATATATATATTTATATATATTTATATATATAGTGTATGTGTATATATATATACAAACTCTGGGACAAATTCTTAGGGTATAATTATTGTACTAAAGAAAATGGACTTTTTTGAAAGCTGTTGATCTGTGTTTTCATATTGGTTTTCAGATAGTTTAGAACAGAAATGTATGAGCCATTCCATTTTTATATCACCTTAATTTCTTCCTTGAGTTTAATTTCTACTAATAAACAATCTCTTCTAAAAGTAAAAATTGTTTCTATGGAAATGGAGGGAAAGTACAGCATGCAGGGCACCTGCCTTGCATGTGGCCAACTAGGGTTCTATCCCCAGCATTCAATCTTCAGCACCCCATATGGTCCACCGAGCCTGCCAGCAGTAAGGCTGAGCACTGCTGGCTCAAAAAACAGAAACAAAAAAAAGTGGTTCCAAACGAAGGGTTGAGAGGGGGCGGTCTCCCCAGAAATGCTTAGGGACCTGGAGCTAATCTAGATCTTGGTTTCTTAAACTGTGGATCTTGACCCTACATGGGATCATGTAATTGAATGAGGGAGTTGTTTTTAAATAAATTTATCTAAGATTTAATATCAGTAAATGTTTGATTTATATATCTATTTTGTATGGCTATATATCCAGACCACATAAAAATTTTCTTGGGATGTAAAAGGGTTATGAGAGGAAAAAGTTTAAGAAACCCTGATCTAGCCTATACTTGGTATGGCAGCAGTGAACCTGATGATTAGGTGCTTGATTAGAAACAACGGGGTGCTGCTTGGATCCAGAGATGCAGGGGACCATCAGATCTATATCAGGTGGTACTGGAGTGGGGGGTACCAAGGCCACTCCAAAGATATTTGGGGAACCATGTGGTTCTGGGGATTGAACTCAGGGCCTGAAGAATGCAAAACATGTACACCAGCCCTTAAAAAAGGCTTTTTGAACTAATATTTCCAACAGAAATGATATTC